TTGTTATTAAAATAGTTATTTATCTGATTTCTGTGAAGATTCCTAGATGACTTGCAGAGACATAACTTTCTCTTTACCCAATATAAGACAAAATCTAGTTCTGAAAGTTCATGAATTCTGTATTTATCATCTTTAATGTTTGTATATTGATGTGCATAATTATCCACAGGGTTTTTGTTGTCAGGTAATTGTTTACACATAGAAAATGTTAAATAAAGTCAGAACACTTGAGAGTATTACTGCTGCCACTGTCTGTATTATGCTGCGTTCACACCGGACGCAGCTGGCGCGACAGAAGCAGCGAGTTTACATGCAAAGTCAATGGTTGATGCACGTCAAGGTGCAGCCAAAGGTCCCGCAGCGCATTTTGAGCAGCAGGGTTAGCGCGTCTGAGCAGCTGAAGCAGCGCGTCGGGCGCATTTAAGCATCTGACGCGCTTGGCGCGCCACAAACACGCTGCTGCTCGAGATGGAAAAATTTAACTTTTGCTGCTCGACACGCCGCGTCAACCAATCAGAGAGAAGCTGATCTGGGAGCTGGCAGGGAGAGAGACACTGCGCTTATGATACAGAGTGCTGTGATCACTCCTCTGAAACAGTTTATTGACGCATAAATTAACTTAAAATGCAGAAATCTGCCGGGAGAATATGTTTGCTTTCATTATCCTGCTGCCTGCAGATCGGATTATTTAGATGAAAAACACCTACCAGCCGGCAGCTGGTAATCACTGGTGAGGGGTGGCCAGTGATTGGGTAAGGGTAGCCATGGCCACCCCTGGACCCCCATCTAGCTCCGCCCCTGGCAGGGTGTCTGGACATTTCAAATGTTGTAAAAGAAATTATTATATAGTATTTTTCTCTCAATGAAAATGAAGCTTTTATTCCCTACCAATTTAGATGTTCTGTAATATTTTTGGCAAACGGATTCAACTTTAACATTGAACTATGCATTATATAAATAAGTCAATGAATAAATGTTACATCTATTTATTTGATTGGACATTTATGTATTTCATGATTTATTTTGGCCCTCCATGTGACCGTCCACTTGGTGTCTCGCGACCCCCCGGGGGACCCCACCCCCTACTTTGGGACGCCCTGGGTGTGAGATGTGACGCGGCAGCAGCTGCTCAGGGGCCTGTTTTTAGTTTTTGGCCCCTGCGTGTTTGGCCCTCAGGTCAGAGCGGACACTCTGTGGAGTCCGATGAAGACACTTTGTGATTTTCTCTCTAATTAGTCATTTTATTTAATTAACCACTGCAGGGCATGTCGGAAATAGCAAACGTCTAGATCTGAGACGTCACTTCCGCCTCCTCCGTAGCTGAAGAAGATGGCGGCCGTCATGGAGAGAGTTGATGGATGTGTTGGATCTGCGGACCCGGACGCGGTGTCGCTGAGACAGTCCAGCTCCCCACAGGAGCAGCCGCACCAGAACAACCCCCTGCTTGGTCTGCCCATCGTGGCCATCGAGACCATCCTGAACTTCCTGTCCTACGATGAGATCAGCATGCTGCGCTCGGTAAGCACAGCTGCAGGGCCGAACCGGCCCTGACCCGGTCCGGTCCGGTCCGACAGCCGGGTTCTGATCTGCTGGGGCCTGTAGGACCAGTGGGTCAGAACCAGCAGGCTGGATGGTGGAACTTCCACCTCTTTCCTGTTTCAGACGTCAAACGGGAAGCGAAGCTCCTCTGTTGATGTCAGGAAGATTATAAATATGTCACAGGGTGGGCGCCTACCCCGCTGGGAACCGTTGCCATGGTTACAGTTCAATCAAACACTGATGTTTGGCACCTGAGAAGGTTTTCCTTAAAATACTTTCTCTGTGGCCAAAACGATCTACTGTCCTTCTGATAAGGAGGTCTGCAGTATGTAGCCTCAGGGGCAGAGCTTACTCAGGTAGTCTGTAGCCACC